CTCCACCTCAACTTTTTCGGGTAACACCACCAGAGTATAGTCATGTTCCGGCAAAACCACCACAAAACTATCTTCATAATTAAAATATGAAAAAAATTACTAAAAATAAATGAAAATCTGGAAAAAAAAATGCACACGGGTTTTTATTCAAATTTTTATTTGTTTTTAATGATTTTTTAAATATTTTTAGTCAATTTATTTTACTTTATAGATACATCTTGATTAAGTGCATCTAAAATGTACAAAAAAAAATTTTACTTAAAATGTCAAAAACAATTCAATAAAAAAAATGAAAATTATTTACGTTGTGTTTAGTTGGAGAATGTGGAAAGGAATTTGGAAAGGAAAAAGAAAAAAATAGATAAAATATGAATAAAATATATCTACATTTTCTCTAATTTCATACACATTTTCTCTTTCTTTTTCCAAATTTCTCAACTAAACATAACGTTAAAAACAATTAGGTACGTAACGTTTGCTTTACTTTTCAAAATTCAACTCTGTTTTTAAATTATGATTTGGATGAAACATATTAACCAAATATATTTTTAAAATATAATTTAAAATTATTTTCAAAACTCCTCTCTTCTCTTTTTATTTATTTATTATTATTAATCAATTAATCAATCAATCATTTTTTCTCTCTCATATCCCCTCTCTCCTCGCATTCTCTCACATTGTATATATCAATCAATCAAAAAAAAACTAAAAAAATTATAAATCATTCTAAAACTATTTTTAAAACTCATAATCTAATAATTTTTTTCTTTTTAAATAATAATTTAAAATTTTAAAACTCAAAATATAATTTCAAACCCAAATTATAATCGTAAAACTAAATCAAACAGACACTTACACACTCAAACTATAATAGTAAAACTAAAAATCAAACAGACACTTAAAATGTCTGAATTCTCTTTCTCCACCCATGCATGACCCATCTCCAAATGAAAATATGTGTATGCATGCATGCATGTATGGGATATTCGAGACACTTTATCCCCAATCCAAGATTGCAGGGAAACCCTAATCTGCCTACTTAAGAACAGTGGTACGGATTGTACTATATCGTAATATTGTACTCACCAAGTTGATAACATTTTTTATTTTATTTTTTTCGGGATTTGAATTCTATATCAGCAAATGCTAAAATTAAACCAAAATAGTTATTAAAATAATATATCAACTATACATTTTAAAATTACCTCATTTTATTTAAATTATAAACATTAATTACACTTTTCATTTTTGTAATTTTATTCAAATTTCCTTTTAATTCTTACAATTTTAAATTAAATAATTCGATCTTTACACTTTAAGTATAATTTTAATTTTCTCATTTGTCTAAATTGGAGGTTAAAATTAACAATTTTAAGACACTTATCAATTTTTTAAGATATACTTACAGAAAAAATTAACATAAATTTAAATAGAATGATCATATTGAAACTAAACTTATGTAAAGACCAAATTGTTAAAATTAAAACTATAAAAACTAAAGTCAAATTTAAGCCAAATTATAAAGATAAAAAGTGTAATTAGTCCAAATTTTAAATTTAAACCATTGAATTACCATTGTAGAGAGATCCATGAGAGTAGATATTTTTTGGGGGGTGCTACTGATTTTTAGAGTTTCTGTTCACCTTCTGTATTAATCTATACAATAAATTTATATAGGGGTAAATTACACTAATCTCTTTCAAATTTTGGAGAAAATAAATTGCATTTCACAAGTTAGGCAAGATTAATCTTAAGGTTTTAATTCACATAATACTCAATCTATTTTTCTTTGTTAATAATTCATTAGTTGTGTCGATAAAAAAATGATGTTATCATTTCTTTTATACTAAAATATAAATTTTATATTATTTATTCTTATAGCTTCACACAATTTATATTAATTTTGGTTGTTTTGGCCACACTATATGTCTAAATTTATAAAACTTATTATATTTTTTCAAAACATCAAAGGTGGTCAATGTAATATATATAATCCACTATATTATATATACTATATTTAAGGTGGTAAACCAATTGTGTTATAAAAATATGGTTATCATATCCATATAATTTTATTTTATTTTATTTTGATAATTGAAACCTGTCCTAAGTAGGCATTGATTATAAATAAACAATAAGTAAAATTTGTCTAATAATGTGGTGTTTTTGGAAGTTGGTAAAAAGTTAATTTTTTCGGTTTTTTTAGCTTATTTTGTCTTTTTATAAGTAGAAAATATGAGAGATGATGTGACCCAAAATAGATAAACAGTTAAAAGCTGACTTTTTATTTTGTTCCCAAAAAACATATATAACCACTAGTAAAAAGGTAATAAGCTTACAAAACTATATATTTCCAAAGGAATTGATTAGCTCACTCCAAAAACGTAAATTGAAAAAGCAAGCGACACCCACTAATCATACTAATATCATTGTTGATCTACTATATTAAAGAAATAATAATATTTCATTATTTTTTTTTAAATAGAATAAATTCTATATATACATATTTTTTTTAGCATGAAATCACATAAATAAACAATTAGTAAAATTTGTCTAATAATGTGGTGTTTTTGGAAGTTGGTAAAAAGTTAATTTTTTTGACTTTTTTAACTTATTTTGTCTTTTTGTAGGTAGAAAATATGAGAGATGATGTGACCCAAAATAAATAAATAGCTAAAAGCTGACTTTTTATTTTGTTCCCAAAAAACATATATAACCACTAGTAAAAAGGTAATAAGCTTACAAAAGTATATATTTCCAAAGGAATTGATTATTAGAAGAAAAATATTATTCAAGTGATGGCTTGTCTTATCCCACATCACCCACAAATGTGATTCCAAACTTCACACTAGTCACCAAAATAACATGATTAAAATAAGGTAGTTGGCTTATAGTCTCTAAAATCCCATTTTCTTCCACACCACCAACTCCAGCATTGATTATAATAACTTCATCACTCTTCACACTAATTGAATGTTACATACCAAAGAGTGGCCCTATCCCATTCTCCTCCTTGCCCATGTTTTCACACAAGATCTTTTCTATTCAAATCTTTTTTCTTTTCTTTTTGGTTATATTTAATAAATTTCTAATTATTAAAAATGCTATAAACCACAAAAAATATTTCACAAAACACGTCTTCAGATTATAACCAGAACACTGAAAAACTTAGGATCGACGGGCAATTGACCGGCAAAGGATTCGAGATGATTTTCTTGAAACTTTTTTCATAGTCTATACATTGTTGCTTGATTGTTACCTGATGATTATATATTGTGATAAAAAATTTAAAATACATTGTACTATTTAAAGTGCATTAGGATAATAAAGACAATATCTCTACTCTATCATGTTATGCTATTAAGAGTGCATTAAGTAAAAATAAAAAATAAAAAATTATTGGCTTGATCTCTCTCCGCAATTCCTTTTTCTCTCTCTAAAATAATTTGTATTTTATAATATAACAATAATTTATATCACTAAAAAAAAGATCATTAATAGTATTAATGTATTTAAAATGCCAAAAATAAAAATAAAAAAACATAAATAATAGACGGTATCTACTACTACATCATTAACAATACTATTAAACCACTACTTTTAATACTCTCAATCATTTTTGTTTACAATATCTATAATATTACAATTGCAATTATAAGTGGGCAGAGCACTTTGTCCAAGAAACTTATCCCATCCCTATTTCATATCTTATCTATTCCATTCTCAACTTGTGGGGTCTAGTTTTTGAAAACTTCGAAAGATCATGAGTCAGAAGTTTTTTTATTTTTTTTTTATTTTTAAAGTACTTTAGACTCTAAAATCATGCTAGGCTATATACATGCATTTTCGTATCAGACATGCAATACCATATAAGTGACAGGTGGGCAACGCGCATAAATCCAGCATTACTGAAAAATATTCAGTGCGTTTGATTTTAATTTTTTATTTTTTTATATATTTTTATTTTTAGTAAATATTTTTAAAATTTTAAATAAATTTTTATTTTTTTAGATATACCTTACTTAGATGTATCTAAGTAGTAAAATATTTAAAATATATATTTTAAAAAATTAATAAATATATAAAAATACAAAAAAATATGCTGAATTTTTATATTTTTTTATATTTTTTATATTTAATATTTTTTTAAAATCACAAATATTATATTTTTTAAGTATTTATGTTTAAATTTTTTAAAAAAATACTTAAAATATTAAAAAAATTCAGTAAAAATATGAAAAAAATTTAAAAGTAAATTTTTTTAAAATATGAATTTTAAAAATAGAAACCAACACTTAATAATTCTCCCCCATTGGCATTGAATGATATCATTCAATGTTCCAAATCAACACTCTCGTTTATGTAGGAAAATAATTTAATCATATCATGTGGTCTCTAAATTTAACTTTTAAGTATTTTAGGTGATAACATGACATTTGTCTCGAAATATATGATATGACGCATTACTTTATTCTAAGACTATCAAATAATCTCTTTATATATAGATTTAGTCTGTTTAAAATTTCTTTATTTTAGCGCATCTCTCTATTATATGATGAGTTTCTCTAGTTTTAAATTTTCAGTAACAGTATTGGGAAAATAAATTAGTATCAATTACAGTATAACAATATCAAGAATATTAAGTGATATGTATTGGAAATCGAAATGACGTAGTCATTAGTTTTTTTTAATGATCAACAGAAAAATAAAACATTATAGTAATCAACCTAGTCAAATTGATTGTGAATCAGGTCATGAGTTAATTATGAACTGATATGTATTGACTCATGAGATTATCATTCTTATTGATATAGTAGAATGTATTGGTATTGAAATACCACAATATTAATACGTATGAATCGATATTTAGACCATGCTCTAACTTGATTGTGGAGATTTTTGGGAAGTTGCCAAAAAAGTCAGCTTTTTGGCTTTTCAATTTTTTAGTCAAAAAAGTCAGTTTTTTTATCCAAAACAATCCAGTTTTTTTGTCAAAAAAGCTAAAAAGTCAAAAAGCAAGTTTTTTACCAACTTCCCAAAACACTACTGTGTGGTGAAGAGAAACACTGAAATAGGAGACTCCGAACAAAGAGTATTCCTGCCTTACATATATACACACCTCTCTTTCACATTCACTCCACCATCCCATACATCTCTCTCTCTCTCCATATGAAGATGAAGATCATGATGAAGGCAAAATTTCTAAAGGTATGCCTAAACAAGTGGCAACAGATGGGCAGTAGAGGGATGCCTTCTACAGCTAGTTGTGACTGCTGCCTTCAATGGGGGTTATGGCCCTCCATGCAAGAGAAGTCAGTTATTCCAAGGGATGTCCCAAAGGGTCACTTGGTAGTGTATGTAGGTGAAGATTACAAGAGATATGTAATCAACATCACTTTGCTCAACCACCCTCTCTTCAAGGCACTTTTGGATCAAGCCAAGGAAGAGTATGATTTCACTGCTGCATCAAAACTCTGCATCCCTTGTGAAGAGAACATCTTCCTCACCGTTCTCCGGTGTGCCGCGTATCCACAGAATCGGAGACTCTCTCTGTGCCTTTGAAGGTTCATTCATGGATTCAAGCAGCTCTTGATAGCGTGTTTTTGTGGGGTTTAACTCTCCTAATTAAATTAGGATGACCATATATATACATGTATATGTAGCTATAACATGTTATATATTTGTCAATTGTATTAACTAGTATTATGTACTTTTTTTTTTTTTTGGATAAATAACTAGTATTATGTATTTTTGATCTACATAATTATCAATGTACTTCAATCCGAGACGAGCAAAATGCTATTCTACTCATTTCTAATCCATACTACTTGCCGACAGTGTCCAATTCAACAAAATTCAAGAAACATTAATGTTATGTACTGAGAAAAAATATACATAATTGGAAACGTGTGATTAAATTCATTCGAAGTGTGTTTAAGTTATGAGCACTTTTTTTTTTCTCTTTTTTCTTTTTTTCTAGGTATGTAACATTTCTAATCGATCATGACCTTAATTCAAATCGTAGACAATTATTAGTTTTTAAATTGAGGGAATTCTCCACCCCCCCAACTCACACACACACACGCACGCACGCACGCACTGATTAATTGTCAAAAGATATCAGTTAACAAAAACAATGCAACCATTGATTTTTTTTTTCTTCAAGAAAATTGTACAGAATGCAATGCTGTTAGCACTGCATTCATTCTGAATGGGGCTCCACCAAGATGGATGTAGTACATTTTGTGTACTTTTTTTGTGAGATTTCTTCATGTGTACCATTCCTGTGTATATAACTTTTCTTTTTTCATGTGAATTAATGAATTTTGTGTTGTACCCAATGACTAGCTATGAGAGCATTAAAATTTTGGGTTTTCTCAGTAACTTGTCCCTCAACAACTTCCTCATTCACCATGAGACTTTTCTGCTGAAATTGCAGGGGATGGTCACCCTTTGACAGTTCGAGCAACATGACAATTGACTTAGATCTATCGAGCGAATATGGTATTTTTCATGAAGACAAAGGTCAAAGCGAAGAATTTGAAATGGTTAGAGCTTAAATTGGGGTTTAAGATTTGGTGTCATATAGAAAACAAAGGTGATAGGAAGGATTGTGGGTGATATGAGATGACTCTTGTAAGATTCGAATTTGCAAACCAACTGATAGGTTCTTGATTTTGCAAATTAAGGAAGAAATGGGGACTGAGTGGGAGCTAGTGGTTAGATATAATCAGAAGCGAAATTCAGGGTTGCGTGTTTTTAAGCCATTCATCTTTCTGAATCAATTGGTGATCTACCTAGTAATGGGGAGAGGACCATTTACGAAAGACTTGATAGGGCTTTGGTATATCGGGATTGGCAACAAATGTTTTCCCAAGGTGTTTTATTGTCTCTTCCCATTTAGTGTTTGGATAATAGCCCCCTTCTCCTTGATACTTGTTGGCTACCCTAGAAGAGGCTATTATGCCTTGACTTGAAGAAGCTTGGTTACTTGATCTTACATAGCCCCCTTCTGCTTGATATTTGTTGGCTACCCTAGAAGAGGCCACTATGCCTCAACTTGAAGAAGCTTGGTTACTTGACCTTACGCTGTCTTGACATTGTTCGAAAGGTATTTAAGTACTACATTGCTGGTTCTGGTTCTACTATGTTGTCGGTGGTTCAGTGACAAAAATTATAGAGGCATACGCATCATTAGAGTCGTCTTCTTTGTAGAAGCTTAGCTAGCTAGATTGTGGATTTGAGGAAATGGTTTGAAGAAGCTCAATCCAGGGTACAGAGGCATTCCTCTATTATTGAAGGTCAACTTTTACGATCTCAGTTTGATTCATTATTAGGACAAGAAGAATTATATTGGGCACAACAAGCTAAACAAAATGAATGCATCTTGGGGATTGATATTCAAACTGTTTTCATATCATGGCTACTGTTACACTCGCAAAGGAAAATGATAGTTTACTTACGGCAGTAGGATGACAGTACTACTGACCTGATTCATTTTTGTGAGTTATTATAGAAAACTATCCTATGTGAGGTAGAAAGGGCCTAACGAAGTTTTTTCTTTGAAATTGAATCTGAACAATGCTTATGACACTGGGTCAGATGGGTTTTCTAGGAAAGGGTATTGTGAATTAAGTCTTTGTTGGTGATTTGTCCAAATCATTGATAATTCTTTTTTGACAAAATCATTGATAATCATCAAGTTCCTCACTTTCTTTTTTGTAAAAGAATTTGAAAAGCTTGTGTTGCTCTTAAAGTGAAAGTGTTTATGTGATTTTTGGTTCAATGAGGCATTTTGACAAATGATAAATTGCAAAAAAAGGAAACCTAATTGTTCTCTAAGTCCTCAATGGTGCATTATGTGTTGTAAGGATGGTGAATCCTTAGATCATGTATTTTTATATTGTCCAATTACTTTGAGTTTATGGCATAAATTGCTTCTATTGAGAAATGTTACGTGGGTGGGCCCAAAAGGTAGTACGCGTATGCTTCTAATCGACTTTCATGTTTTGGAAGGATCGAAGAAGGCCAATGTGCTTTTGTTTTACACCGTCTTTGCAACTTCTGAGATTTTATGGTTGGAAAGAAATGCGCAAATATTTGAAGATAAATCTCAAGATGTGAATTTTTTGTGGAATGAAATTTGTCATTTAATTTCTTTATGAGCTTCGGCGAATCCTCATTTAGCATAATTCTGTTTGGTTTCCATTTTCAAAATTCACTTTTCAAAAAATTTTATTTTTCGTTTTCCTTATTTTTTGTTTTTATTGAATTTTTTTTAATATTTTAAGCAATTTTTTTAATTTTTAGACACAATTAACATAAATACATTTAAAAAATATAATATTTGTGAAAAAAATATTTTAAAAATTCACTAAATACCAAAAATATAATTAAAAAGAAAAAAGAAAATTCAATACATGTTTTGTATTTTTGTGTATTTATTAATTTTTTAAAATATTTTTTCACAAATATTTTACTATTTAAATACATCTAAATAAAGTGCATCTAAAAAAATAAAAAGAAATTATTTAAAATTTTAAAAATATTCACTAAAAACAAAAAATACGCAAAAACAAAAATCTTAATTTTCAAAAAACTGAATTCAGAAAACTAAAACCAAACACACTGATTATTTTTATAAGCTAGAGAGTAGTTATCGGTGTGTTTAATGTATAAATTTTATTGATGTTGCCCTTGTTTAGGTTTTGTATTTTCTTTTTTTGTTTCTTTCTTGTAGAGGATACTTTATCCTCATTTCTTCTTTTTGATTAATCAATAAATTGCCCAAATATGGATCACCGGGAGCAAGAACATGTTTCGGTTATTTTGGGTATACAGGTGGGGTCTCACAACTAGGGTTTACTTGGGTTTATCACTGGACTTCTACGGTAAAAAGAGGGATCTATATTATCCTTTGCAGGGAAGTGTGCATTAATCCAACACTCTCTTGCAGTATATCATTCTTATATGATCACCAATTGAAATATCAAGATACAACATTTGTTTCTGAAAAAATAATATCTGCACTAAGTTCGATGAGCCGGCAAATTGTAATTAATCATTTCAAACCAAAAGAGTGTTTGTTGGATTCAATTTAAAAAATGCAACCATCACATCATTCAGGTAGATTTCCCAAGAGAGTCCACAATTTGGAGTACAAGCCTCACATAATCAGACATCCATTTTTTATGCTGATGTTGAATTTGTGAACTGCAAACGATGAGTTTATTGATATAACAGGTCATGAAATGTGCTGCTGTTTCCATGCCAAACAATTTTTTTTTTCAACAAAGGTTGAACATGCATGCAGTTAAACACAGCCAAAGAATCTTGCAAACGACGCCTGAATTCACAAAAATGCTAATGCCACTGTATTTTTGTCACTGTTTTATGTCACCATCTAGCTAGATACTTGTAATTGGTTCCGTTTTTGGAATAAATACAGAATAAATTGAGAACACATACCCTGTTTAAAGTCAACCAGAGAATGTGCAAGCAAGGTCAAAATGACTAATCAAATTATTTCTTTCGTCGCCACAAGTATACCAATATTGGCACTGACGATGCTTAAATGTAATTCGTTTTTCAAACTATTCAGAGTTAGTAGAACTCCTTGTAAGGCTTGCTGGAAAACCTGTTGTCAGGCTTTTTTTTTGATAAACAACCTGTTGTCAGACTTTAATCACCCTTTCTTGTTCAAAATGAAAGGTTTCATTTTTAATTCTAATCATTCCAAAGTAGATTCTTTTGGGTAATATATATGCCGGTCAATGCCTTTACTAACGCTGTTTTAGACACAACTGATACATTCCAAAATAACCACTTACCCATTTTAACCCATGTAATCATAAAAAGCTAATTTTTCAGAACAGATCCATTCTCTGTGCCATCAATAGGATCAATTATAACCTTAATATGCCCAGCAGGTTAGGGCCAGACATCACACGGTGGCAAGAGAAATGGTCTGGAAGCATAATTAGGCAAGAATTAAAAGTCCATCAAATAAAATTAGAACAAAAAAAAAAAAAAAAAAAATGTAGCATTATGAGAATTTGTTTGGCCCTTGGAGCCAGATATTGAGTATACGCCATTGCATCTATCATTAACCTTAACCTACCTAAATCTTATGGTTTTAATTTCAATCGTGCATGATTAATCAGACACCTAATCATGTATTTAAGCGTATTATGCACAATTGAAAGTAACAGCAAGCTATCAAATAATGTAACAACAGTGTAACTTCATCTACTTTTTGCACTGTATTAGTCATTGGATATGATACCACAAGCTATTGTTGATGTGAGATAGTAGAATATATCAAAATAGTATATGCAACTCAAGCATATTGAATGGAGCTTTTCTGGGTAACAGACCTCGGAATGGGACTCAAACTTAGCATTGAAAAAATAAGAATGCAAATTATATTTTGCTACCGAAAGAAAACATTGTATAATACTTGTTTTCTATGAGAGGGATAGTGGTTATGGGCCAAAGTTGCTAACCTTTGGAGACTCTCCAGGTCGAGGAATGTGCTGTAATTTCACTGTCATGACCAACCTCTTTACAAGTCCAGCCTACAAACAAAGAAAGGACACATAAGATGAGGATCAGAGAAACATGTTTTGGTAGCATACTAGCATATAGTCCAAATTTGGTTCCAAAAGCACACATTCTATGCACGTACCTATTCTGAGATTAGCCCACTTTCTCGGTTTCTGTCTCCATTCATATTCGCATTTTTCAGAGCTTCACAATAGAATTTAACAAATCATTCAGGCAGAATAGATTATGTACAAACAGAATTTCAGCTCCATAATGTTCATATTCTATTACCAAAAAAATATGAGATGTTTACATATAGGCTCCACATGCATCCAACAAGGCTACACAAACACGCTCCTCGCTCACAACAGTGAAAAAACACCCCTCTCACACCTCGAGAGAAAAAGGAGCCTAGCTCTAGAAAGGAAAGCTCGTACAACCCAAGAGACTAAGCAAAAGTAAAATGAAAAAGCACAAATCCTTTCTCATTATACATAGAAAGGACAAGAAGTATTATGCATTAGCTACTTAAAATTATTGAGTAAGATTCACTTATGCAAAGGAATACATTGTAACGATATAAAGAAGCAGACACCTTTGCTCTTAATACCATAAGTCATTTGAAGGAATTTAAACTTTATCATTTACACACACTTGGACGGGTAGACACTAAGAAAAACGGGGGAGCACACACTAGACCCATTGTATGAATGAGTTTTTCTTCAGGTACAATATTACAGGGAATGTTATTATGTTTCCATCGTTGGCAACAACCACTGGATTGGTAACCTGAGTAATGACAGCAATCCTCGTGTGTTCCAGATGCCTTTGGCCATTGGGGGATTCATAAAGCTATCTCTTCAACATTTTCAGTCTTGAACATTTAAACATCCCAATCACGTTAACAGTCAAACAAACAAGCCATTTGAACTGGTGTCAAGCAACCATTATGTCTCCATGAACTCTTCAGAAGGATACCTGAACCCCAAAAACTGCATGCCAAAAAAATCATTCACGATTGAATTAGTTCTGCATAAGAGGACCTCAAACTGACAAAATAGTTTGTGTAGCAAAAGGTGCACATTGCAAAAAAAATTAAGATTTTTGTGGTGAAAATTACGAATTCTTGTGGTGGAAGTTATGACTTTTGTGGTGAAAGTTATGAATGGCGAATTTACTGTTTTTTGTGGTAAAAGATTTACTTTTTGTGATGAGCAAAAAGTTAAAAGGGATGTGAATTAAGAATTAAGGGGTGTGAACATGTTACTTGACATAATGGTTCATGCAGAAACTATTACAAAACAAAAAATAAAAGGGATGTGAACATGTTACTTGTTACCTTCTTGTCAGCAGCTGTGCACTTGGGCTGGGTTGAGTCTGGAGACTACAAGTTACTTGTTTACCTTCTTGTCAGTAGCTGTGCACTAGGGCTGGATTGAGTCTCAGGAAACAGTGAGATTAGGATACCCAAAAGTGAAACTTAGAACCTGAATAAAGAGTTAGCCGTTGAATTAGCACTAATTCAACTGCTATCTCTGAAAAAAAAGGACTAAAGCAACTGAGCAGTTAACTACGTGATACAAAACTAATTGTCCCTGACATGAAAGTGATACACAAAAGATTTCTACCATCACAACTAACATTAAAGCTGAGATCCAAGTGAGTCAGCGATAGGTTATAGTCCCCATCATTCAACTTGACATACCACAAATGGAAATTCCTATACCAGTTTCTCACCTTTTGGTTGTAAATGTTTTTCAAATTTTTCCATTGTATATACAGTTGAATAAGTTGGAGAAGCTCCAAAGGAACTTCTTGTGCAGAGGATTGGTAGATGAGTTTAGATATCATTAGGTTAACAGGAATTTGTCTCCCTCTAAAGGATTGTCCTTGCAAAGGTATGCCTCGGAAACAGATACTATGTGGAGAATAATGATGATGATTAGGAGTAAAATAACAAAACTGGGTATTGGGAATTGCATTAGGTTCAGCCTTTACAGAATCTCATGTAAATTGTAATCAATTTTTTGGTTGAACTCCGATGGTGTGTTACGTTTCTATATACATTACTAGTATAACTTGTATAAACCAATTATAGTTTGATAATATCTAAATTAGGACAAAAGAGGCTATGGTTTTGTTCCACGAGTCGATGTTCAGTAGTGATAGGAGTCTTAAGTTTCTTAATTTTATTTTTCGGTGCGGAGTTTTAGATTTCTTAATTTTATTCCTCTCGTCCTCATCTTCTTGTCTTCACATAATATGCAGTTTACTTTCTTCACATTACCATTCACAACCCAAGAACCCCACCAATCAAAACTAAGTCTAGTTTCCCCTACCTCCTTTCCTCCAATTTAACAATTACAATCATTACTGACCAGGAAGTTCTAGCAATTGTCCTCAACAAATCGACCAACTACAAACTTCCCCCCGGTGAACCAATTGCAACCATTTCTCACCTTGAAACCTTAAAGTTCTTCCACTACTCCATACTCTTTGATTTACACTGTTTTATTATATGTATATAGTTATATATTATACATATATACAATTGAGTTATATTGATTTTTTTTTTTTATTCTTTTATTTTTTCATTTCAAACATTATGTGACTATTTTTACACATATACAAAACTATATATTATGCCAAACAAAGTAAATCTTACAATTCACAATTCACTATTTTAAGAAAACGATTCACGATTTGACAATGTGGGCATATTGATAGGATTAGGACAGGTTGAAAAAAATTTATAAATAGATTGGATTTGTGATGGGTAATTGTACGGGGAACAAATATTCTGCGGAGCCCGTACTCCTTTCGTCCAAGCTCCTTGTCTATCCGATCGACCTGCGAGCACAACGGTGGTGAGCTACCCGGCGGTGTGTGGCCGGAAAACCCCTCCGACAGTCAAGTTAGCACACACACTCAGAGAGAGAAGAAGGGAGAAATAAATCACAATGAGTGTTTTTACCAAATGATGTTCCATCCTCAGCATGGGGGGCGCAGTCATGCTTATATACTTTCTGCGCTCAACTCTGCACCCATTAGTCTCTTGACACGTGGAGTTGCTCTCCCATCCGTTAGTACAAATCCAGCAAACACCACCTAACCAAACCGCCGAACAACATTACCAAGAACTCTGTAGCCTGGCGGCATCACCTCGGCTTCACACGACCGGGCTGCATAACGAGTCCCAGTGTCCCCTCGCCGAGCTCCATAACAACCGAGCTCAGTAGCATTCCGGTAAAGCCAAGTTCCAGACAGGTCGAGCCGGCAAACAAAAAGCCTTCCCGCCGAGCTAAACGTGCGAACCGTGGAACTCGGGTTGGCAGGTGACCATCTCGGCCAAGTAAGCTCGGCCCATACACGGGGCTTGACCCTCGGCCGAGCAAGACCGATTCTGGACGCAAACAAGCCCAAATAGCTCGGCCCCAACTTGGTCCTCGACCTCGACCAAGCAAAACCACCTCTAAATAGGCCCAAGTTAGCTCGGCCCAAACGTGCTCGGCCATCTTCGGTCTGGCTTCTACCACGGCCCAAAGCCAGATTATAAATCTCCCTCTCAATTGCCCCTTAATTCCGTCCGCGCAAGCGTGACTGGGATTACACGATCCGACCGGGGTAGATTCTCCCTTGATCCTTAGTTCGCAAGGCGTCAGCCGCGCTAATTCCCACGCTCGGTTTGTAGACTTGCTCGGTCGACGCCTCAACTTGCCATCTTGTCTCTTCAATACTGACGCCGCCGCCATTATGAACACTCGTCGACCATTTATTGGCCTCGAGCAGCCAACCCAGACGTCCCTTCACATTCGAAATTTTGGCGGGTTCTTTTCGCCTATAAACACGCCTCATCCCCCTTCATTTTCTTCCTACTGTCTCTCTTTCATTCCAGACGACCTGCAGTGCCCTCCATTGCTTTTTCAAGCTCCATCCTTGCCCTCTACTGCGTTCGTGCTTGAAGACTCGACTTCTACCCCATTCTGGTAAGTTCTTCGAACCCCTTTATTGCTTTTTCATTCGGTATTCCTCATTTTTAGGCACATAAACTATAGGTTATAGGATATAGCTCCCCAAAAACCTCCTCTGCCCCTGCTCTCTTTGCTGTTCTTCAACTCCAGTGATGAACACACAAAGATCTGGAGCGGACCGGGCTCCAGGTCTTCTTTTTGATCCCAAAAAACACCTAAACTGAGCAAATTGCGAGTTTGCAAAAACTCCTGTAGGAACCGAGGTAGGCAGAGGACTTGACCGCTCGACCAGGCTAACAGCTGGTCCGCTTAAGCGGCCGAGCTTCTGGATTTACCTTCGTGACCGAGGTGGTCTGGCACTCCATCTGACCGAGCTAAAGTCAAGCTCGTTTTGCGCGACTACACTCCCGCTTACACTTACCCTCCTTTTCCTGCAGAGTCCAAGGGGACCACGCAACTACACCGAGGCTCTCAAAGACCGAGCAGCCATCAAACGAGAGTTTTTGACAAACCAACATAGCCGTGCTAAAAACAACCAGCTACACATGGGGCGCTACCGCTTCTTGGTTGATACGCCGGTCGCATTAGCCGCGTTCCGGGAAGAATATGGCGTCCCTACTGACGTGCACCTCAAGCTCGGTGAGGAGGACACAGCCCCTTGGGGCAGACTTGACCAATGCCCTTTCACCGTTCTTTCCATTATCGAAGGCGGCCTTCGCTTCCCGGTCAATCCCCTCATTCGCGAGTTCTTGAGGCACATCGGGCTAGCACCGACGCAAGTCTCCACCAACACCTATAGGATAATTAACGGGATAGCCGAGCTGAACAACTGGCTAGGAACCAACCTAGGCTTAGCCGAGATACTTCGCCAGTAAACCCTAAGGCATACAGACGACGGCCTTGCTTATTATTTAAAGATCAGACTGGGCAAAGAGAAGATAGTGACCGGCACCCCGGACAAAGACATGCTTGACGACGACTTTTTCTGGGTTTCTGGTAATTATAAAACAGCCGACGTGACGGGCTGGTATATCAGTAAGGACTTCGATTCAACATGTAAGCCGTGCTAACTGCTCGGTTAAATTACTTTCTTTCAATATTCTGTACTTAATATCTTTTCTTCTTCTTCTCCTCTTTGTAGCAATCGAAGCTTTGCAAGCCAACTACCATTATCCCAACGAAACAGCCATCAGAACCGTGCTGCGGTACCGTAACCGAGATTGCCACGAACTTCTCGGCTACATACCGACCTACAGATACTCCGCTCCCCGCCGAAGTAGAGTGACAGACTTCCGAGCGCCGTCTCCACCTCCCGATCCAACACTACCGGACGTGCCCCTTATCCGGTTGACCGAAGCAGAGGAGATGGTGAAACGAAACCGATCAAAAATCTCATCACCGCCACATCCACCGAGCTACCGAGCATCCCCTCCCGCACAGCCATTGCCGGTCAATCAAGCAGGGCCGTGGTCGCATTGGCGTCAACCGCCGCGGTGCAAACAACCAAGGAAAGTGGCCGCATTGGTAAAAGGCCCCGCACCGCCGATCCCTCAACCGAGCTCGTAGCGGAGCAAAACACCGAGCAACCAGCGATCACAACTGACCCAACACCTCCATGGAAGCCCCAAATGAAGCACCGGGTAAAAGAGATCCCGGCCAATGCTTCGGTTAAAGGGAACAAGGAGCACCTCCTCGTCTTCAACCTAGCCAAAGCCCTACTTCTGCCGAGCGATGTGACCGGCAGTGACCACGTGCCCGACACCCAGCTTGTGAAGTCCTCGGTCAAGTCCATGACCCGGGTAAGAATTTCGCATGCTTATTCAAATTTTTCCAAGTGTTTGCTCGGTTTCCTCTCTTTAATCAAACTCTCTTCTTGCAGGCCATCTGGAAACAACATCTGGTGATGGAGCGAATACATACTCTGGCAGAAGGCGACGGACGCTGCCAGCCAGGTTGAGCACCTTTCAGACCGAGCTGGGGCGTTCAAAAGCTTCTTTGGAGATTGCGAACTCAGACAACTCCAAATTGTTGGGCCAACTTGGAGCCGCCGAGCAAGAAAGAGATGCTCTTCGGGCCGAGCAGGAAGCGTCGAAACAAACAAAGAAGGCTGAGCTGGAAGAGGCAAACAACGAAGGTTTCAAGGAGGCCAAGGAAAACTACACCAAGCAAGTTCATGCCACCCAGGACATTTTCTTCAAGGCCAGCTGGAAGGCTGCTTGCAAACAGCTCGGCCAAAGATCTGGAACTGACGTGTTTGCCTCTCCCCCAGCTGCCTTCCTGCCGACGTACATGGTGTCGTATGCCAACGATGTCTTCAGCGCATTGTAGGCTGAGGCCAAGGAAGAAGGCACAGAGGAAGCCGAGGAAAATGCCGAGGGAGATAACCGCCCGAAGCAAGTCGGCCAAGTTGAGACCGGCGTCCAAGAAACCACAACCACGGTCGACCTAGAGGCAACTGCAACTGGGGATGACTTCGCCGACCCATCTCCCTTAGTTTAGTTTTCTTTTCTTTTTTC